AAGATTAAAATACTTCCTTGGTATCGAGGTGTCTCACTCACAGCAAGGGATTTTTATATCTCAGCAGAAGTATACTTTGGACTTGTTGAAGGAAACTAGAAAACTAGGATGTAAACCAGCAGAAACTCCCATAGAAGTCAATCACAAGCTTGTAGACTCAAATGAGTATGATATGGCAGTTGACAGAAGTTTTTTTTCCAAAGGCTTGTGGGAAAGCTTATCTATTTGTCACACACCAAACTAGACATAGCATATGCTGTTGGGGTTGTGAGCCAATTCATGCACAATCCAAAGGAATCACACCTAAGGGTTGTTGTTCAAATTTTGCAATACTTGAAGGGTACACCAGGCAAAGGAATTCTATTTAGAAAAGGGGGGAACTTGACTCTGGAAGCATACACGGATGGAGATTATGTAGGATCCATAATTGATAGAAGGTTAACTTCAGGCTATTGCATTTTCTTTGGAGGTAACTTAGTTACTTGGAGAAGCAAAAAACATAATATGGTGGCTAGATCAAGTGCAGAAGCTGAATTTCGAGCTATGACATTGGGAATTTGTGAGTTATTATGGCTGAAGATTATTTTAGAAGATTTTTTAAGGTAAAGTGGAATGGACCAATGAAGTTCTACTGTGATAACAAGTCAACAATCAATATTGCTCATAATCCAGTTCAACATGACAGAACAAAACATGTTGAAGTGGATAGACATTTCATAAAAGAGAAACTTGATAGTGGCCTGGTCTGTACTCCCTATGTGACCACTGGAGATCAAATTGTATACTTACCTACCAAGGGTCTACCTGGTAAGTATTTTCAAAAGTTAACAGGCAAGCTAAGGATGGAAGATATCCATGCTCCCAGCTTGAGGGGGAGTATCAGAGATTAGTTACCTAAGTTAAGAAGATTGAGTTGGATTTGTAAATATTCTATTTAGTTAGTATCCCTAAATCAAAGGGATTCTTTTTATTACTAGAATTAGTCTCTTACCTAGTTTAGAAGTTACCTAAGATAAGGCCTAGGCTTGTATATATAATTGTAAGTTTCTTACACGTTTAATAAGAGTGAATTACAGTAAAATTCATGGCTTTTGTCAATAAGATATATTCATTTATTCATTGAAAAAGGATAATCAAATTTTTTGTTTGACTTCAGGTTTCTAGACTAATATATACAAATTCTGGGGTTGCCATATTGGCATTAGCATCTAATGCTGTCCACAAGCTCTGGAAATGGCAGAGGAGTGATCGCAATTCAACCGTGAAGGTGTTTTAATTTTTTTAACAACTGTTCGCTATGTTGCATGCTTGGTTTCCTAATGCCACTTTTATTTGTTTTTATTTTTTAAATGTTATCTTAGCTAGGTATTAACTCAGTCCTGTCTTTTGTAGGCCACAACTAGTGTAGCACCCCAATTATGGCAACCTTCCAGTGGAATATTAATGACTAACGATATAAGTGATACAAATCCTGAAGATGCTGTTCCATGATTTGCGCTTTCGAAGAATGATTCTTACGTGATGTCAGCATCAGGGGGTAAAATCTCACTCTTCAATATGATGACATTTAAGGTTGGTCCTTTCTCCACTTGTTTCATTCTTTGGACATGACTACATTTTTAGGAAAGCTCTGGATTTTTATGTAGATAGGCCATTTAAAAGATAAGCTTTCATACTATAGCCCTGAAGTTTAAGGAATTTTGATTAAAATACCGAGTATTTTATTAGTTAGAATTTCAGGTTGAAACTGAGATTATTTTTTGCGAGGATCTTTAGTTTGCAGGATTTAATTTCACATTTTTTCTTTCAGCTTTCCTAATATGCAGACAATGACAACGTTCATGCCCCCACCACCACCAGCTACATTTCTTGCATTTCATCCTCAGGACAATAATATCATTGCCATAGGCATGGATGATTCATCAATCCAAATTTACAATGTTCGGGTGGATGAGGTCCTTCTAATCGACTTAAAACTTTTATGGTTGTTGATAAATAAGTGGAAATTATTTGATTAACTATGTGCTCTTTTTAACAGGTGAAAACAAAGTTAAAAGGTCATCAGAAAAGAATAACAGGTCTTGCCTTCTCTCATACTTTGAACGTGCTTGTATCTTCTGGAGCCGACAGTCAGGTACAAATTATCATTGTCTTTCACATGCATGCTTCTTGTATCCTAAAGCAGTTTAACAACCCACTATGAAAAAACTAGAATAACTGGTACTTTGAGATATGGTTAAAGCTGAAGTTTGAAGTCATTGGCTTATTCCGAGCTAATCTTGTTAAGGACCATATGAAAAGTTTGGCTAGGGAATGACTCTCTTGAATTTATGCTTGTGAAAAACATATTAATTTATTATGCTTATGTGAGGTTCTTCCTACATGGTTTGATGATTTGTTATCATATTAAACACGTCTAGTTTGATAGGACTTACCATGTATTGTCATGTCTTATAAAACGATTTTTAGTACTTATGGAATTAAATTTCCGTTTATGTGTGCTAATTATTCTACATTTGTTTTTCTCTACAGCTCTGTGTATGGAGCACAGATGGATGGGAAAAGCAAACTAGTAAGTTCTTGCAAATACCTAATGGTCAGGCAGCATCACCTCATGCCGAAACTCGTGTTCAGTTTCACCTAGATCAGATACATTTGCTGGCAGTTCATGAATCACAGATAGCAATATTTGAAGCACCAAAACTAGAATGCCTAAAGCAGGTGCCAAGCTTACTTGCCGTTTAATTTATTTGTTTCTAGACTAGTATTGCTTAAAATTTATGTCGAATTCAATTGCGCTAAACAAGGTAGTTGCTTCCGAATTTTTTCATGCTTGTGGTAAGGACTAAAGAGAGTGGTGGCAATGCCGAATTTTACCTTTTAGAAATCGCGTTGCTGCCGTACACTGCTATTAGTCAATAGAACCTATGTTATTTTGGATCTAATTCTTCTAACCTTCAAAGGTTATTGATATTGTTTTTGGATTTGTTTTCTCAAATAGTGGGTTCCTAGAGAAGCAAGCGGTCCCATCACCCATGCAACATACTCCTGTGACAGCCAAATGATATATGTGAGCTTCGAAGATGGAGGTGTTGGTGTTCTTACTGCTTCAACACTCAGATTGAGATGTAGAATTTGTCCTGCTGCGTATTTATCTCCCAATCCAAGGTACAATTTATGAGTTTATTATTAAAATCAGTTCCGGACTCCCTCTGGTACGGGTGGTTAGTTTTTCAATGAAGTTTCTAACAATTCACACCCTGAACAGCTTGAGAGTTTATCCACTCGTCATTGCGGCGCATCCATCCGACCCAAATCAATTCGCATTGGGACTAACAGATGGTGGAGTCCAAATTGTCGAGCCTTCAGAGTCGGAAGGGAAATGGGGCACCTCTCCTCCAGCAGAAAATGGTGCTGGACCAAGTACCCCTTCCGGGGCAACCGGTTCAGAAGCACCCCAGAGGTGACGGGTCCATGTGCAGGTATCCTCGTACATCTGGTGCATGTGGCTGGTCCCTTGTTAAAGTAAAATTGCAAAGGGTCGATACAAAATGGCACGACATCCGTCGTTTTTGCAGAGCATATAGTGTTTGATGGGTTCCATTATTCCGGGTTTTGGCGTAAAAGTAGGAGGTGGGTCTGACTATAGGCATTTGAAAGAAAGGAAATCAGAGACAAGATTTGCGTTGGTTGATAAGTAGGGACCTTGGCAGCAGGAAACGATTAATTATTTAATATCATTTTTTTTATTTTTTACTTTTCTGATGAATGCATTATTGAAGAAACTATTTTCATCCATCTCCACATCCGAACATGACATACCAAAGAAGAAGAAAACACTAAATAGGCTAATTTATATAAGAACAATATGTATTTATTTGATAAAGGCGAGCAATAAGGACACGACTCATAGGATGTTATTTTGTCGAGTTTTTGGGATAATATTTCTTACCATGATGTCATCCATCACTAAAAATAAACAAATCTAAAATGCTATATGAATTAAAAGAGGTAAAAGATTAAATAAACAATATTCGAATAGAGTCCAAACTCAATAAAATTGGATGAACTGACAAGACTGTTTGAATAAACTTCCCAAGAAAAAAGAGTGTGCGCCAAAAATGGAGAAAAGGGTCAAGAACACTTATGCACAACAATTTTCAAATGGTGGGAAGTGGACGTAACTGTGGGGATATCAAAATGTCAGGGACATGATAAAAGCTTATATGTTAGGCCATTCTTACAATGTAGTGGACATAACTTGTTCATCTTCTTCTTCTTTTGTACTTAAATTCACTCAACCACTTGCTTTCACTGCTCCTTGCCCTTTACTCAACAAACCCTCTCTGATTTCATTTCCTACTCTTTACATATTTGTCTTTAGAGTAAAGATATCATATGCTGATCATTGAATCAAATGTATGAATGTAACGTTTGAATTTAAAAAATTTAATTGCCACAATTTAATCATTTTGAAGGAAAAAAAACGTATTATGCATAACATTGTCAATCACGTGACTTGAACCCTCAACTTAAATTAATTTAATGGATAAATCTTATTCGTAATTAAATCAAGTAACAAGTTAATGAGATTTAGAAGAAATAAATGAAGAGGAAAGAGTTATTAAGTGGGGAAAACGATGTGTGAGGCAGGGGGGCAAAGGGAGATGTTAATGGTCTCTTTTTGATTCCACAACTTGATAGTCAATTGGTAAGGTAGGGGATGGGGTGCATTGTCCGTAGGTGGCACATTTTAATGCTCATTTCCCTCACCCTTTTCTTTCCTTGTGATTCCCAACTCCACGATCTTTTTTTATTATTTATTTTTATTTAGCTAGATGTATAATAATCATAAATAAACCTTCGTAAAATGACCCCAAAGCTGAGACTGAAGTGTGTAAACAATGGTATTAAAAAGAAGTGTGTAAACAATGGTAAGCTGTCTTAAATGATTGGGGACCAAAGCAAAGGCAGGGACCATTTGTTCCGATCTTGTTATACTGCTCCCTACCCAAAAGAAAGACAAAAAGCTTAACCCCTCCATCTCAAATCTCTCTCTTTCGCTTCCTTGGACTGTGGGAACTGAAAACAAAGAAGAAAGGCCAAAACCCATCATAAAGAAATTGACTAATCTTTTCCGTGTAAAAACACTGCTGTCTTCCTACCATCTTTCAATACTTTCTTCTGGGCAAGCCTCTAAATTTCTCATCTTTCCCCCTTCTCTCTCTCTCTCTGTATCTTGTTTTACCGTTCTGGATTTTTTTCCCATTGAAGCAGAGAGATCAAAGATGCCAAGGCCAGGTCCTAGACCTTACGAGTGTGTAAGAAGAGCTTGGCATAGCGGAAGACACCAACCCATGAGAGGTTCCATCATTCAACAGATTTTAAGGTTCTGGGTCTTTAATTTCGTTACATTTTAAGCAGCATTATTTAGTCTTTTCTGTGGGGTGTTTAATTCCATGCCCACCATGCCTTTGATTTTAGGCTAGCTATGGAAACTCATAGCACGGCTACTAAAAAGAACAAGGAATGGCAAGATAAAATAATTACTGTCATCGTCAAAACTGAGGAGATTATGTATTCCAAAGCCAATTCTGAGGTTATTTCTCCTTTCGGTTTTTGGATCTTTTTATTCTGTATTTACTTTTCAACTTAATTTTGCTCTTCTCTTAACGTTATTTTTAGGGTGAATACACGAACCCGGAAACCCTATGGGACCGTGTTAATGATGCCATCAACACGATTATCCGTCGAGATGAGAGCACCGAAACAGGAGAGCTTTTGCCACCTTGTGTTGAAGGTACTATTGAATTTTTTTAGATTTTACATGTTCTACTCTGGGGTATTTTTGGATTTTACATGTTCTACTCTGGGGTATTTTTGGATTTGAGGTTATTATTATCGGTTTGTCTCGTTTTGATCTACATTAGCTGCCACTTTATGAAGTTTTCAAATTGAAACTAGTTTCAAGAACCATTTGGACTGAAAGATTGTAGTACATATGTTGTTTTAGCTGCCCTTCATCTGGGGTGCTATCCAGTGAGAGCTTCAAGGAGCCAACGACACTGTAATCCTAGGACTTATCTTACGCCAAGAGCACCCGAACCTGTCCCTGCAGCGCCTAGTATTTTGGATAAAAGCAGTGAGGAACGGTGTCAGTTATCACTGGTTCAGTCTGGCAGTCAATTTGCAAGAATAGCAACCAATGTGAATTCAAATGTTTCGGTTTCACAAACTAACCGCCATGGTTATCCATTTCTGTCTGAGAATTGTGCTTCTGGCCATGACCAATTGATGAGGACAGAAACTAATGCCCCAGCGAACTTGGGTCAAGTATACCCCCTTTACTATGGAGTTCACTATCAAAATGCAGAGTCCCAGACAGGTTCCCCGGTCCAGGAAAATATAGTGCCTGATACGATAATTGTTGGGAGACCTAGTGGTACATCTATTTTAGAGCCAGCTGAAATGGGTTCCTTGCAGATTTTTTTGTCTTCTGATGTCAATGTTGGTAGTAGGAGAATTGGACAACAAGACATCGGGCGCTACCACGAGAAGTCATTTGCAAAAGAATGTGATTTGTCCTTGCGGTTGGGTCTATTTTCTGACCCTTGTATGCAAGTAGGAAAGAATTCAATTTGTGAAGCCAAAGATGCCAGTCCGAGCTGTGGGGGCAAACTTAATGATGCGTTTCAACAAACTAGTAAAGGGTTCCGTTTTTTCCCAGAGAGGACTGTTAATGACCATTTTGATTCATCTTCAAGAAAGTGCTTCATGGAAAATGAAGATAACAATTTTGGGGCAGCAGTGAGAAAACGTAAGGCAACATTTGGAGGCAACTCAGAAGGTGAACACTTTTGCTGGCAACCAGGGCTGTCGACTAATAACAGAAGACATGGGCCAGGTTTGTAAACAATAGTTTTAAGTGTAGTTTGTCCTTCAAAATTAGTGGTCTCTTGAGCGTATTAGTGGATCTCTTGCAATATTTATTTTCTAGTAGATGCGCTTGTAAAATTTAAATGCTTACCATGAGTTGCATTTTTGGAGTGCAGCAGAGAGTGAACTGTAAATAATTTTTTTAGCATGATTGATAACTGATACTTGGATGATCTAATTCTCATGACACATCTAATTACTTGAACATTTTAATAAATAATTTTTGATCAGTTGAGAATCATATATGGAATATTTACTTTCTCAATATATGTGGGAATGATTTGTAGGTTTCTACATGTACAAAGCTCAGGAAACAAATGAAAGAGGAAAATAATTATAGGTATTTTAGACGAATTAATTAGCTATTTGAAACTATGAAATGGAGTGAAATATATACCCAAGCCGTCATAGAGTGAAGTGTTGATCATGAACTATATATATCCAACCTCCAGATTTCATGTTCCTTGTCACCTTAACGGACACGGATTGATTTTAGCATGTTTTTTCAAGAACATTTTTTTGAATTGAATGCTTCTTAAGTTCGCCACGGGATGGCACATTTTACTTATTGGCATTAGGTTAGGTTGAGCCCTACTTTCTGGTGCAATTTGCTGCTTGCCATCACTGTCAGGTGAGGAATTATCCATTAAATTTTTTTTCACTTCTGTGATGGAGATAAGTCTTTGTTAAGTCACTTGTTTTAGGGACCAGGATGGCGAAAAGCACCCGAGTCCGAGTGTTCTAAGAACCGGAGATAGTTTGTGCGAAGGAAGGGGCACGGTTGGGATCAAGGGTCACATGCATGTCTTTGTGGTGTGATGATAACATTAACACTTCAGTAATTAGATGCTCTTCTTGTGTAACATTCAGCCCAATAGGTTTTTCAGGTTGTACAGATGCAGACTAGAAGGATTCTTTGGTTGCGGAGTTGTACTCGGAATTTCGTAGATATAACTTTTATGCATTAGCCTCTGTGATCAACAAATGTAGCACATTGTTACCTATATGAATAACCAGTTTTGTTGATAGACGAGTGCTTGCTTTGAGGATTACTCCATTATGGGTTCTGATTTTTTTGAACGAGGCAAATGTTAGTGCTGAGCTTTCTTCATCCATGTTTAAAGAACCCTTTGAACCATAAATTATAGTTGCTGGTTCACTTTCATTCTGTCCTTAGAGTAGGTAGTAGACTTGATATCTTTTGCACTAGCTGAATTGAACAATAAACATCCATACTAATGAACTGATTTTGTAAGCATTAATGATGAAGTCGTTTGAATAGCTTCAAAAGTCTGCAAAACTCGGCTCCTTCTTAGATAAAACAAAACCTAACGTGGATCGGCATACCCTCACTTGCTTCTGCACCTTTAGCTGAAGGGACGGTCGGGATAATTATTCTTCTAAATTTTTTTAAATGTCATATATTTTATATTTTTTTTATATTTTCTTTTGAAAATGTGTTTTTATCTCTCGGAATTTTATAAATTCGTTGTTCTTTAAAATTTTAGAAACTCGTTTTTCTAATATAAAAGCATACGTGTATTTACGCAAAAGGAGTTGGAGTCTCTCCAGCCTATGCGTAGCCGTAAGCGTGGTGTATTGACTTCCACCAAGGGACCGTTAAGGGCAGGGGTTGGAGTGGATGGTATCGCGGGCCTAGCATTAGCACAGGGTTTCAGCTTAAAGAAACTCAACGTTTAAAATTTTAGGCAATAAAGATGTGGTTAGGTTGTTATATTTGGAAGATATCGAATGATAAATACATATTTTTGTATAATTTATCGATGATGCTACTAATTTAGTTAAATTTAATATATTTAAAAATATTATATCATTATACCGGATACCAATAAAATTTAAGCAACATGTAATTTGACTTTCAATTGTTTCAGTTATAGTATTGAACTTTGATTTTGACATCAATTATATCATTCAATCATTTAATTTTAACGACACTATGTGGATGAATTTTATGTTAATTTGATGATATGGACAAACTGATATCGTTTTGGTTCGACTATTGATGCCCAAAACGGCAATATTTTAGACACTAAACTTTTGAAATATCAATTTTGTAACCAAACTATAAAAAGATTTAATTTTAGGATTTTTTTTCTGCTATCACTGACACCCAATTGTCGCTTGTCACCTGTCACCATCGATGGTAAGATAGATTTCAAAATGTTCATATTTTACTCATATTTCTTTTTATCAGATTGTTTTTTCATGAAATTCACTCAAATTGACGAAAATTCATCTAAATGTTTGGCATGTTAAACTAATATCTTCTGATGGTTGTCCAAAGAGGCTGGTTTTAAGGTATGTTGTGTGTTTTTCTTTGAAATAATGCTACTCATCGTTTGAATTTTCGAAAAACACGCCAAATCCCCCAAATCTAAGAAAACCCATAAGCCTCTAAAAATGATAGTTTTTTGTTTAATTTCGTCGATTTTGAGTGAGATTATGAGAAAAAAGAAGAGTGAAAGGCAAACATTTTGATGTTGCTTTGTCGCTAATGAGAACTGATGACGGGTGAAGATCAACTATTAATGACGCCAAAAAAAAGCACAGTACCTAAAAGTGAATCGTTTAAATTTTCAATGATAAAATCGATACACTCCTAATGTTTATTACCTAAAATGATATTGTTTTGACCTCAATAGCCGCAACAAAATAATATTATTTTGTCGATGTCGTCGTATCATTTGAATTTTAACGATCAATTGTATAATTAAAATCAAAATCAAAATTTAGTATTATAATTAAAATAATTAATGTAACACCTAATTTAGGGGCTAAATTTTAGAATTATAAAGTGATAGATTTAATTTGTATTTTGGGAAGAAAATTGATGATTAAATTGAAAATTTTCAAAGTTGGCAGACCGTTTTATAAAATGCAGAAAATTTAGTGGCTAAACTCATAGTTTAACCATTTTTATTTTAGAGACAATTATAAGTCTCTCCCCTATATGGTTCTGCAGAAATGTTTCATAATTTCTCTCCCCGATCAACGATTTTAAGCTCCGATCTACTCGCCGTCCGACCTCCGATCAATGAATCGAAACCACCATCGTGTTCGTTATCGACCGATGAACAAAACCCCTCAAACCTTTCGTCGTGAATCGTCGTCGTTTGTCGTTAATTTCAGTCGGAAGTATCTTCGATTTTAACACAATTTTCGTTGGTTTTTCGTCGATTCACGACGATCCGACCATCCGTTTTTAACACCTCCCGCACCATCGTGTTCCTTGTGCCATTTCGAGTCTGTCAGTGTCCTCCTTATCTCCGTCGGTGGCGACGCGTGAGGAGCTGAAGCGGTCAAAGTTTCGGATTTGTTAAAATCGAGCTCTCCATTGTTCAAAATTGTGAACCGAGCTTTGTAAGTGCCTCAAAATCGCTTAAAATATATTTTAGGAATTTTTCCGGGAAGTTTCCGACACCATATCAGTGTTCACGCACCACCCCTCGAAAGTGGGTATCGTCTGACCGCATGGTGTTAATTTTGTAATTAATTTCTGTTTGGGTGTTATTTGTGTAAAAATTCGTGTGTTAGTTTTGTAAATATTTTTAGAAGGTGGCTAAATTTGTAATTAATTCATGTTATGGTGATATTTGTGTAAAATGGTCGACTGTTGATCGTTGACATGCGTTGATCGACGTTGACCACTGTTGACTAGAACTTTGACCGACATTGAACAACCTTTGACTTTGACCGGGTATACATATTTTGATGTTTTTCGACGTTCTGAATCCGTTTTTGGGGTTCGTTTTGCCAAATTCAAACCCAGTAAGTTGGTTTTCACTGATTAATCACCTGATTCGAACCGTTTTTCAGAATTAAGCTATGTTTTTTATGTAATTTCTGTTGATATGCATATGAGGAATTATTAGAAGATGATTTCAAGATCGAGGGCGTTCGAATGGAATTTATATGGTCGATCAGTATGACACGAAAATCGAGGTAATACTTTACTACCTCTTTATGCTTTATGGAACATGTGAATATTGGTAAATGCATGAATAAGATAATATTGCTATCATTTGTGTAGTTAATTAATTTCTACACTCGATCCGAATATAGTAGAAATTTGGTAACTGATTATGGTTCAGATGACTTTTATAAGAAATTGAGGGATTATTAGAATTAAATTTCAAGTTATGTGTTTGGTAATAAAGAAATCAACATGGATCTGTATCTTATAATTTATTTCATCAAAGGTCAAATGTTAAAGGTACTTGAATGGGAAATTATGAGAATACTCTGGTGGGGTAAAACTACGAAAATATCCTTATGTTGTAAGATGACAAGAATTATCCCTGAAAGTTGGTTAATAACTCTGAAAGGGCATATTGATCCGATAAAATTACTGATGTGCATGAGAAATGCTAGTTTTGCTTAGAAAATTTGGATAACTGGGTTTCAACCTCAAGATGGTTTGTGCAAGATGCTAGAAGTCTGTTAAGGAGATCATTTCAGGATCAGAGAATGTTCGGGAAACAATTAACCATATGATCTCTAAATTATATTATTTTCGTTAAGAGTTAATACTGAAGTTATCTGGTTAAGAAATTACGAAAATACCCTTGAGAGGTAAAAATAGTATGAGTTAACTCTAAATGATAAAATAACCTGAGAATTTGTATTTAAACCGATAAATTACTGATTTGATTGTTGAGATCCTACCTTTGTATGGAAAATTCCTGATAATTTGTTAGTAACATTTGAAAAGACTTTTAACCTGGAAATTACCGAATTTAGTAAGTACATTAAGAATATTTTATAAATGGTGCTCTTTTGTTAGAATGGTTAGAAATGACTGAAGTAAATGATAAGTTTGGACTAAATAATAAGATCGGACATAAAAAAATGATTGAAATACACTGGATATGTAAAATGACCAAAATACCCCTGGAATGGAAATGACTCAAGAGTATCACCAAGCCCAGGAATGAATGAATATCCTCAAGCTTTGAAATGAATGGAAAACATTGAGCACCAAAAGGACCAAAATACCCTTATATCCTAGACTAAGTAAATGTCTCGGATTATTTAATAAATTCAAATAAAAAAGGATGTTGTACTGCTCTTAAAGGTTATGGAACGCAACTTAAGCCGATCAAACAATGCTAGTGCTATATCAGTATTTGGATGGCATAGGAACCATTTGAAAGTTTGTTCATCCCCTCAAGTTTGAATTTATGATAATTCTGAAAGTACTCAGCTCAGATCAACGCTAGAGCACATTCGATAGTAAGAAATGGATATCCGTAAGATAAATCAACCACAAATACCAGAATGACTAAATTAAACTGAAAGGAAATGCAATATATATTTGAAAATCAGAAACATCTGAATTAATCTGGAAAACTATGAAGTAACCGGGATAGACTTGTTTGCTAAACAAACTAAGTAACCTCAATGACTGAGGATTTAATAGGTGATTGGATGAGTTTGGAAACATTGATGAACATACATGATGAATTGTCGATATGGGTCATTAACCATGAAACAAATACGTCTGTATTTCTTGATATCGTTGAAACATGGAAATGAAATAAAGACTATTGGAAGATCTATTCAGCGATGATTACAAAGATGAATTATGGATAAGAATTGTTAGTATTAAAGAGTAAATACTTTGAAAAGGCAAAAAATTGACGGGTCGACATGCATTAGTTCTGAGAGTTATTCAGTTCGAATTGTTCGATAAGTCGATCGATCAACATGGATTGTAAATGTCTTGAATATTTGTTTCTACATTTTCATATTAAATCACTTCGGTCATGTCTGAACACGCATGTAAATCAGAAGGAAGAGATTATGAATACCCTATTTGGTTCAATTGAGCTGAGATCCTATGAATTTAAGTATATTCCTAAATACCCTGATTGTTTGGGTAAGGGAATCACTCGCAGTAAGTCTGAATTTAGAATTATTATGTATAAAGGTTCTTGAACGTTTTTCTGATGCACATGGAAACATAGTAGAATTCTAAAGTATCAATCTGAAATGTCTGATTAGATTAGTTAGAAATCGATTCTCTCCAATAAGATCTTATTCATGTAATTCGATCAAATTGCACAGGTTCATGATATTCATAATGATATTACAAAATGCCTTTGAAAAGTACTTGGATTCTCTAGTGTGTTCTATACATATATACAAAAATTGCTTTATTGTTTTAACATGTGGTACATTGAAATATATGGTTACTGTTTTATGGATGCACCGACTTAACGGTGATGGCTTATGGATTTGTATCACTGTATAAACTATATCTTGGAGATAAATATTTGTAAAGTACAGCTCTGACCAAGCTGAAAAATTTTGATGGACCTAATATGACTCTTAGGTAGGCTCTGCGGCCCTGAGATCATTCTCGGGTAGGCCCTACGGCCCTAAGATGTGTTCTTAGGTAGGCCCCGTGGCCTCAAACTTTCTTGGGTAGGCTCTCAAGCTCTAAGATGTTCCCTTAGGTTAACTCTTTATACGATGGTTTTAAAATACAAGTTTAAAAAGGTCAAATACAGTATGGTTTATGAGATTTACTGAACTATCATTTGATTAGTGTACCTATTATGATTTTATCGTACTGTTGGAACACACTAGACACCCTATTCGATCTCCTGAAAATGTGATACTATGAATGCTTCCTATGAACTGAGATATTCATGGCTTCTATTCGTTGAACTAACAGTGGAACTCCTGATTATTCCGAAAATCGGTATACGTTTGATTAAATAAGAAATGATATGGCTTTCCATTTATTGGCATGTCTTGCAGCTTCATCTGGTAGTTCTGTATTACTGAGCTTTTCGAAGCTCACTCTATTACTCACCATTGCAGGTTAAAAGAATCGTACCAGTACAATTATTAACATCAGTAAGGGAGTTCTTCCGGCGTTGCTTGCAGAGTATGGTACATGTGATTAGGGGGCATGTAGATTGTATTTTGTTTTATATCTGAGTTTGAAAAACCTGTTTTATTTCTGAATAATAATAAATCATTTTATGATTTTACATGTTTTAAGAAAAGTTTTAAATTACCGCTATTTTTACAATGGGTCGCTCCGGTGGCCCTAATGTGACACTCCAGATCAGATCGGGCTATCCGTATCAGTCTGAGGGGGTTACAATTAACATATATGATATAATGTCGCTTAAAATTTAATAATATCTAATATAATTTACCCTAAATGTCATCATTTTCAGTGAAATATTTAATTTAAATCGATACATAATATTTAAGCATATTGTGTTTATCATATGGATAAAATAGAAATGGTTAGGAATAATTATACTAATAAATAATAATAACAAAAATATGGAATTCGAGTGAATATAAGTTTTTATTCCAACACCAAATATCATTCCATGATGAGCGTAGTAACTGAAGGAATATGAAAAATCCATCTAAGTTCAAGGAAAAAGTTAAAATCCATCTAAGTTGCAATGGAAATGTTTGCTCAAGCACGTCCCCCTGGAATCTACAAGCCAGATTACATTGATGATCTGTATGCATTTTATAATGAATCTAAACCTGCAGACTTCGCCTATCCATCACCTCCTCGGTGGACGATTTCTCCTAATGCAGCATCGAACACGAATCGTAAACCGAAAGCCGATCCAGCAATGAAAAATGACGATGTCTTGGGAGATAGAATACCATTCAATCAAGTGAAATCACTTCGAGAATCATGCTACAAGCTGATGAACTTACATGATGATAGAGCTAAAAAGTTTCCAGGGTCTCATCCTGTTTCACTCAACAGGGAGAATTTACAACTTTTCAGGCAGCATTACTATCATGCTACATGGAAAGCCGATGGGACTCGGTACATGATGCTAATAACTCTAGACGGATGTTATTTGATCGATCGAAATTTCTATTTCCGACGAGTTCAGATGAGGTTCCCATGCAGTTGCAGAAAGAGGACTCATCATTATACCTTGCTTGATGGAGAGATGGTAACTGATACTTTGCCGGTGTCACAAAACAAGGAAAGAAGATTCTTGGTTTTCGACATCATCACTTGTAATGGAAACACACTCATGGAGAAACCATTCTTCGAAAGATGGGACATGGTGGAGAAAGACGTGATCGAGCCTCGGAATCGAGATCAAACCAAAACTTCATGTTACCGATATGACATGGAACTCTTCAGGGTGCAGAGAAAAGATTTCTGGTCGCTTCCAACAGTGCCAAAGATATTAAATGAGTTCATCCCCAAACTGTGTCATGAAGCAGATGGTCTTATTTTCCAAGGCCGAGAGGATCCCTACATTCCTTACACTCATGAAGGTCTTCTCAAGTGGAAATATGCCGAAATGAACTCAGTCGATTTCCTGTTTGAGACGGGTGTCGACGATGACCAAAAACTCTTCCTTCACGAACGTGGGAGAAAGAAGCTGATGGAAGGGCAAAAAGTTGAATTCAGAGACGGTTTGGATCCGAAATCGTGTTCAGGGATGATCATCGAGTGTTGTTGGGACAACGAGGAACAGCTGTGGGTCTATATGAGGAAGAGAAGCGATAAATCGAACCCCAATGATTTCAATACCTACATGAAGGTGATGAGAAGCATAAATGATAATATTACGGCGGACATTTTATTGAAAGGGGTAGAAGAGATCATTAGATTGCCTATGTATAAACATCCTCGTACTACCAAGTTGAGTTTTAAATACTTGCATATATTTATAAGTGTATTTCTTATAATATTTATATGTTATATGAAAAAAGATTAAGCTTAATTGAAGAAACTATCATCTATGCATCCCCTTGCTTTGAGGATCCTGGAGTGCAAGAGTTTCTGTAATAATAAAATTTTCAATATATATTCCTGTATTTTATTTATTTCCTTTTCATTAGTATAGGGTGATTCTAAGGTATTATTTGTTCTCAACAATTTGACAATTCTAAGGTAATTAGTTTGGATGGTATTTTGTTTTCTCCTGGGCTATCCTTTGGTATCTTTGAGTTTAACTCTTTCTATACTTTCTCCTGCAGCCCTGTAAAAGACGTTGAACGATTCCTGCAGGACTGGAGCTGCGACCAATGTTATTTTTGGCCTTGCATTGGGTTATAAGTCTTGCATTATTCCTATTTTTGCTATCACAATCAGTATTTTTGTTAGTTTCAGCTTTGCTGCTATGTATGGCATTGCTCTTGCTGCCCTTGGAATGCTGAGCACCATAGCTACAGGGTTGGCTATTGATGCTTATGGTCCCATCAGTGATAATGCTGGAGTCATTGCTGAGATGGCTGGCATGAGCCACAGAATTCAAGAGCGAACTGATGCTCTTGATGCTGCAGGAAACACCACTGCTGACATTGGAAAGGTTAGATCTGTTTTCACTTGAGCACCGCCCGTACTCTCTTTTTATTTGATTTATGACATCCCTACATCGCGTTGGCATATCTAGGTTTTTCCACTTTAGGTTAAATTTGACTTTTAAGAGTTATTCAATACCTTTTTTTTTTGTCATTTTAACTGTAAGAAATAATTTTTTGAACTATGGTCTGAAGTGTTGCTGCAATTTTTGCATTTTTTAGCCATTGGTTCTGCAGCCCTCGTGTCCCTTGCCCTCTTTGGCGCCTTTGTGACCCGTGCTTCTATTTCAACAGTTGATGTATTGACCCCTAAAGTTTTTATTGGTTTGCTTGTTGGGGCACTGCTTCCTTACCGGTTCTCTGCAATGACCATGAAGAGTGTGGGAAGTGCTGCTCTGAAGATGGTTGAGGAAGTGCGCAGGCAGTAACACAATCCCGGGTCTCATGGAGGGCACTGCTAAGCCAGACTATGCTACCTGTGTTAAGATCTCCACTGATGCTTCCATCAAGGAAATGATCCCGCCTGGTGCGCTAGTTATGCTAACACCCCTTATTGTCGGGATCTTTTTCGGTGTGGAAACTCTCTCCGGTGTCCTTGCAGGATCCCTCGTCTCTGGTGTCCAGGTAACGTTAACAAATCTTTAATATAGCATGCCACCGCAACCATATGATTTTGAATTGATCGAAATTCGAGATGTTTACTACAAAAGTGTTTCATGTTAATGTTGTTTCTGTCTCGTAATATTTGCAGATCGCTATCTCGTAATTAACAATTAAGTGTCGCCTTGTTAAAATAATAGAGGTTGTTCATTGTTCATTTATTTTGCTAGTTGCTTGTACCTTTTAAGAAAGGACTTTGCCTTTTACAATGGAAAATAAAAAGACAATATATATTAAGAAGAGGGTTGGTGGGGGAGAAAATGGCCGCCGAGTCGCCGACAATAGGTTTCACATTATTTTAAAATAAATTATTAATTATATAAAAATAAATGTTAAATTTAAATTTATTGAGAAATAACTAATTAGTCAAATTATAATATCATGTTTCATTAATTACAAAAAAAAATTATAGTAATCATTTGGGATTGTATATGAATACTGTATTAGTTCACGTATTTAGCACAATTAAAATAACTTCAGCGATCGAATATAAAAAAAATGCAAAGAAACGTAAATTTAAAAAAAAATCATCAAAATATAAATAAAGTACAAATAAAATATTAATGCATACCAATATCCCACCAACCCAAAGAAAAATATGGGACACTTTTCCAATTTCTAAAGCCAGCACTTGTACACCAAGTAGGTTAGTTTTACATATGGTTATAGATGCGATATCACGATAATTTAATGATTAAAGAGAATGTCATTTTTATAGAAATTTTAAGTTTAAATGATTACGTCTGTAATATGCGTTTATGTATAGTGAAGAAAAATTAAAATAAATAGTACCTTGTACGTAGACTATTCAAAAAAAATATTAATTTAATTATAGATAATTATTTTTTAAAGTTATAATCTAATTATTTAATTAAAATATTATTACAAATATTTCATTGATCGTTAGAAATGTAATAAATATTTGATGTATTCTAATATAATAAAAATTTTAGTATTTAAAATTTATACATTTTATTTAACCATTCATATTTATGAAATTCATCAATTTAAATATTTTTTTTACATTATTGTCAAACTAAGTGAGTCCATCGTATTAGAACAAGAGTTGGGAATAGTTTTTGGAGAAGATATAGATTAAATTGATAGAGTTTTTAAATATGAAGAGTTAAATTTTTTAAACTATTTAAATTAATAATATACATAAATTTTAGGTAAAAAAATATTAGGGTAGAATATAAAAATGGTCCCCGACTATAAGATATTGTTTTATTAAATCTTCCGACTATTAAAAGTTACAAATATACTCAGACTATTAAAAGTTACAAAATAGAACTCCGACTATTAAAAGTTACAAAATGATCCATCGACTATAGGGCACTATTTTATTAAGTCTCATGACTGTTAAAAGTTACAAAATGGTCACCCGACTATTCATATGTTCTAAACTCGTTCTTTTTTATTAAAAAATTGACCATCGTTTGAGCTTGAATTTAACTTGTTAATTGAGATATGATAAACTCATATTTTAATGATGTCTATTGGCACCACCATTGCTTTCAAACACATGCTCGACGACATAATGTACACAGAGAATCGATCCACAAAAGACAACTCAAGTAGTAATAGGATCAAATTTTATAATATCTCAGTCAACAAGTTAACTCTCAACTTAGACGATTGCCAATTTTTTTACGGAAGATGATGAGTTTGGAACATACGAATAGTCATGTGATCATTTTATAACTTTTAATAGTCGAGAGACTTAACAAAGTAGTGTCCTAAATCGATGAATCATTTTATAATTTTTAATAATCAGGAAATTCAACAAAACAACACCTTATAATTAAAAATCATCCGTGTACTTTACTCAAAATATTAGAATACCAAATTATATTATTATTTGGTCTAATGATTAATTTGTCATAATTTTTATCTAAAAGTTTATATTATAATTTTATTAATCAAGTGACGGGGTTAAAGTAGTTGTTTAGAAACGTTCTATCTCTTAATGATTCCATCTTTAATAAAAGGTCAAAAGTTGCGAGTCTCGCAAATTAATTGAGTAGTTAGCCTTAGAGGGTTGGTAGGTCACGTAACTTGTTTAGATTAATTATTTATTTTATTAATCTTTTTATTTGTATTCTTTTTATATAAAACTTTTTATATTATTACTGTATGAATGTCTATTTTAAAAACATTTATGAAACTGTAATTAGTTTGAAATTTAAATTCTAAAACATTCTTTTATATGAAAGTCGTGTTTTACGATTGTGTGGGAGTTGGTGTAAAAAGTAGTAATGTAAACGAATCGAAATTTCAATGAATCGATCGTGAATTGTTCGGCGAGAAGTTTGTTTATTTATTAAACGAACGAACATGAGTAATATTTTGTGTTCGTTTAATTAAATGAGCGAACATGAACAGATGGTTCATTCGCTCATTTACGTTCGTAAACGTTTGGTAATATGTTCGTTCATTTATGTTCATTATGTTCGTTCGTTTATGTGCATTCATTAAAGCCCAATAAATTTTAATTTGATATCCATAAACATTTTAAAATTCAATTAATTTTAAAAACAAATAAAAAAACTCAAAACAATTAAATAAAATATAATCCTTAAATTGTTAGGAAAGAAAAAAAATCTATTTTCATTTATATTCGTTTATGTTCATTTATTGTGTTCGCTTACGTTCGTTCATTTGTGTTCGTTTACATCCGTTCGTTTTTGTTTTCTTTTATCATTTAAATGAACGAACACGAACAAGCTACATTCCTTAACGAACAAACACGAACAAGAAATTTTTTATTCGTTTATATTCATATTCGTTCATTTATTCGATTAAAGTTAAACGAACGAACATGAACACACGACTGCTCATGCTCGTTTGATTCGTTTACAGGCATAGTAAAGAGAGAGAGAATAATAGTAAAATTGTATGAGGTTAGTATTAGGGTTTCAACACGTAATGTTAATGTTATGTGCTAATAATTCATTAAATCCAATGGTTAAAACACACGCGTAATTAGGGCTGTCTGTATATTTCAATGTAAGATCCAAGTTTAATATCGTGTCGTTGTGGAATTAATGCCGTATAGCTTCCCCTCGTAAATTATTCAGTTACAAAATTAACCTAGCTATATTATTAGAATAATATCCATTTAATGGTCATTTAGGTTCAATAAATAAATAGTCATTTAGGTAATTTGCGTCTAAACAAGTTTAACAAGAGAATACTATTTTTTTAATAACGACATTTTACTTATATCGTACTTTTTAAAAGACATGTTTTATAGGAGGCAAAATTTTCGAAGTAATATTCTGGAAAAAATTAATTCACGAGATAAAGCACTCCCAAGATTAATTGTTCAAATAAGGTGAAATCCACAGTGTTGGTCGTAGGTCGCCATGCCTTCCGGGTGACCTACTAGGTCGCCATGTCTTCCCGGCGAGCTACAAGAGATTGCATGTGCCATGCACGTCCCAACACGCTGGGCATCCGAGGCCATCCGACCAAGGCCATCCGAGAGCATCCGAGGCCATCCGAGAGCATCCGAGGTCATCCGACCGAGGCTATCCGAACGAGCTATGCGAGGGCAACCGAGCGAGCTATGCGAGGGAATCCGAGGGAAGCCGAGCGAGGGTAGGTCGCCCGGAGTGCATGGCGACCTACAAGGTCGCCCGGAAGGCATGGCGACCTATAAAGTCGCCCGGAGGGCATGGCGACCTATGTGTTGGGACGTGCATGTGCCATGCAACACGTTCATTTTCTCTGTTTGAGCAAGGGTAGGTCGCCCGGAGTGCATGGCGACCTACGGCCAACACTGTGGATTTCACCCTATTTGAGCAATTAATCTTGGGAGTGCATTAGCTCGTGAATTAATTTCTTTCAGAATATTATCTCGAAAGTTTTGCCGATGTATTTTTTGGGCGAGATTCTCGATGTTTGTATCATATGAATCAAGATGAAATAAATAAGAATAACATACTAAAACTTTTAAAAAAAATTATACGAATTTTATTAAAAAAGAAGAAATGCATGTTATTCATGTTTGTACAAACACAAGTTAGTCAAATATCAAACGATGACATACTTTTAAAAAAAAATATTTTTTAAATAAACCTTTTTTAAATGTTATTTACTTATTTGCATAAATAAATTTTAAACGTGTATTATTTATATAAATTTATTTACCTAATAGTTTAATTCCGAGTAATATTGGTTAAGAAATGAAGGGTCCAATCGCTTTTCACCTACCAGACTTCATTAGCGTTTGAAAAACAATGGTTTTCCTTTAGGGCCGCTAAAACGGCACCGCTTTAAATATTGAAACGCAGATAGCCGTTTTCGAAGACCAAACTCCGAAGGGCGAAATCCCCAGCCCCATTTTTTCGCGGTTGCCGATTCCTCCTTCGCGGCGTGTGCAAAGTGCAGCCAGAGAGATCCACTCTCTGCTTAACACGCCATGACTTCTCTTCTTCATCTCCATCCATCCTTTTCCAAGCCCTCTCTTTCCCTCCTTTCTTCTTCTTCTTCTTTGGCTCTCCGTCAACCTCTCTCTTTCCTTCCTAAAGCACCTACAAGACCCATAGTTATCCACTCCACTAAACCACTCCTTGTCAAATGCTGCTTCGCCTCTCCCTCATTCGAATCCGGCCAATCCGGTGCCCGACCTGTTTCCTCCCTCAAGATTGCCATCATTGGTTTTGGCAACTTCGGCCAATTCCTTGCTAAAACTCTTGTTTCTCAAGGACACAAAGTTTTAGCCCACTCGAGATCCGACTATTCCCGCGCAGCTAAAAAAATGGGTGTTTACTTCTTTTCGAACCCCCACGACTTATGTGAGCAACACCCAGAAATTATTCTCCTTTGTACTTCGATTATATCGACCGAAAGAGTTCTAAAGACTCTTCCTTTACAAAGACTGAAACGCTCCACGTTGTTCGTCGATGTTTTATCCGTCAAGGAGTTCGCTAGGAATCTGCTTCTCGATGTGTTGCCTTCTGATTTCGATATCATTTGTTCGCATCCCATGTTCGGACCGCAAAGCGCGAAACAAAGCTGGAAAGACCTCTTCTTTGTCTACGAGAAGGTCAGAATCGGGAACGAGTCCTCCAGGGTTCAAAGATGTGAACAGTTTCTTGGAATATTTCAAAGTGAAGGGTGTAGAACGGTGGAAATGAGCTGCCAGGAACACGACATGTTTGCGGCGGGGTCTCAGTTCATGACACACACGGTTGGGAGAGTGCTGGACATGTTGGGGTTGGAGTCAACGCCGATCAATACAAAGGGTTACGAGGCTTTATTGAATTTGGTCGAGAACACTTGTGGGGATAGCTTTGATTTGTATTATGGGTTGTTTTTGTATAATAAGAGTGCTTTGGAGATGGTGGAGAGGCTGGATTTGGCCTTTGATGCTTTGAGGAATGAGCTTTTTGGCAGGTTGCATCAGGTTGTGAGGAAACAGTTGTTTGAGGAAGGAGAGAAGGTAAAGAGTCTCCATTATAGTAGTTACCGAAATGGTGCTGCATCGGCTTTAAGCTCAAATGCTTTGAGGTATTTCTTGGATTTCACTTTTGGTTCTTTATTTTTTGGTTCAATTCAACATGCATCGTAGCAATTCGTTTAGCTTTAAAAGACTGAAGAGTTTCTATAACTACCAAATAGTGAAGTAAAGTGCAATATATATATACAATAAAAAGTAGAGTGTAGTTTATCTACAATTTTTTATCGGCCAATATGCATAATTTCCTTATGGTTAATGCTTGTTATTGTGTCTTACTAGTAAAGCTATACCAAATGAAAAAAGAGAGAGGGGAAAACTGCTTGGGAGAAAGTGGGGATTATTGTGATGCAAGTTGTATAATATATTTACAGGCTTTTACTGCAACTTTCAGATCTCGAGATTTTATACCATATGAATTCAAAGGAAAGATATCCGAAAGTGTTGATGACAGTTCAAAGCTAAAGATTGCTATTGTTGGATTTGGAAACTTTGGCCAGTTCCTTGCAAAAACTCTGGCTTGCCAGGGCCACTCAGTTTTAGCCTATTCTCGAACTGATTACCGAGATGCAGCTGAGAAGTTGGGTGTTTCTTTTTTTTCTGATGCTAATGACCTCTGTGAAGAGCATCCAGAAGTTGTTCTTCTTTGTACCTCGATTCTTTCAACAGAAAAAGTTCTCAAGTCAATGCCCTTTCAGAGGTTGAAGAGAAGTACTCTGTTTGTTGATGTACTATCAGTGAAGGAGTTTCCAATGAATTTATTTATTCAACATTTACCGCCAGAGTTTGATATTTTATGTACACACCCCATGTTTGGACCTGAAAGTGGTAAAAATGGATGGAATGGGCTTCATTTTGCTTTTGATAAGGTGAGGATTGGACATGATGAAAGGCGAATAGCTCGGTGTAATAGCTTCCTTGATATTTTTGCACGAGAAGGATGCCAAATGGTGGAGATGACTTGTGCAGAACATGATCGGCATGCAGCAGGTTCACAGTTCATTACCCATACGATGGGCAGGGTTTTGGAGAAGCTAGAATTGGGCTCGACACCAATTAACACAAAAGGTTATGAGACTTTGTTGAAGTTGGTGGAGAATACATCTGGAGACAGCTTCGATCTTTATTATGGGTTGTTCATGTACAATGTAAATGCAATGGAACAGCTTGAGAGAATGGATTTTGCCTTTGAGTCATTGAAGAAGCAGCTCTTTGGTAGATTGCATGGTGTTCTTCGGAAGGAACTGTTTGGAAATTCGGAGAAGCTCAAGGTATTGCAGGAGAAATCAGTAATGCAAAATGGTTCACTTTCATCTTCTACAGTGAGTGTTAAAATCAGCTAGCTCCATGTTTTTGTTTCATCCGTAAGTTATATGGCTAATCTTTCTTTATCCTATTGGCCATTTCAATATCTATCCCATCTTTAAAAGATCAAAAGGCTTTTGAAGCGAAAAAAAATCTGAAATCAAAGCTTTTAAAAAATCCGAACTTAATTCTTTGGAACGTAGACCTAAAAACGTTGTTTTAATAAAATTAAAATTAACTTTATTAAAATGACAACCGTTTTGGGTGTCCAATCGCATTTTAATCAAAGATTGATAACGATTTTCGAACTGTTTTTTCTTTGTTAAAAGGAAATATCAAATTAGTCGAGACGAGATTTTTAAATCACACTTAATAATTAAATTTTTTAAGAAATCGTTTATACACTGAGCTATCCCATCGTTGGAGGATATTGTTGTATCATTTATATTTCTGCTACTCTGGCATTCCATTTTGTTGATGGTAGGAGCTGTACAAAATATGTTCCACGTTTCATTGTGGTGATTATCATAATAGAGATATCTATTGAACTGATTTGACTGATGGATGAATAATCTCCATTGTACAACCTTAGCAGCTGTTCTAACTTTATTTTTCGGATTCTGGATATTCATATGCAAATAAGCCTTAATGAAGTTATATTCGAAACAAGAGAACAGTACACTAAAATCAGCTATATACATTCTTGCAGGCGAAGGTACTCCACAAAGGGATGCATCAGATCTAATAAAGAGCTTTAATCCTGCATGATCCTATGCACGAAATTTTACTTCCTCAAGCGCCACTTTGCCTTTCTGAAAGCACTCATAGTTGAAAGAAGCATAGTTTTTCACATTCCTGTATAATCTTGGCCTGTTATCATCTATCAAGGCTTCCACAGGTCCTATCTCGTTCTCAGGCTCCGCCTCATTAAACATTGCCACGGATATCCTCAGCTTGTCCGTGTTCGTGACCACCCTGTGCACCGGGCTCTTGAATACCCCGTTACTCATTATCTGCATCGTTCAATACATATCAGACAAATTCAATTACTTTGGTCATATTTTTGGATATGCAGAAGTGATGTGACTCAAAACTTTAATACTTCACCTGCATTTGGTCACCAAGGTTGACAACAAGAGCACGGGGAATGACAGGAACTGTGATCCACCTCTCATCTTTGACAATTTGAAGGCCTTCGACTTCTTCGTCTTGCAATAAGACGTCACACCGGATCTATCCGAATGAGGTTTGACACCGAGAACTTTGTCCAGTTTTGAACAAGGTGGATAAAAGTTGAACCTCACTTGCATTACCTGGTTGTCTCCGAACTGAGCCGAGAAGCTGTTCTCTTCTAAGTCGAGTGATTTTGCCATGGCCCTAAATAGAAGATCCATCATTTGCTTTAGCTTGATGGAATATTCATGCAAGACCTCTCTGCAAGAACTCAACTCATAGCTTACAGTTCATAAAAATTAAATGATCACAATTCACAAGCTACAAGAATGTAATAGGTCATCTCTGTTGTTAAGTGCAAGTTCTTATACCTGAAACTATCTGGGTTTTCAGGCCAGAGATTGAGCTTTCTTTGGTTTTCAGGAAATACCCTGAGGAACAAGCGAGTGTTCCAATCAAGAACTTGCTTGTCTGAGACCACCAGATCATGGCCATAACCCTCGACACCGTTAGCTTCTCTGGAGTATTTCAGCTTCTCTTTCTGTGGGAGTCCAAAAAATTGTTTTGCAACTCGACGGATGTTGTTGATAAATGAACTTGACATCCCATGGCCAATAGCCTGACACAAAACACAATGTCAAGAGAAGATATAGTAAATGGAAACAACTAATCTATGGGGTTTTATATAAGAGTATAGATTCGAACCTGGAAACACCCTCCTGATTCGAGAGCCAGTCTGAGTTTTCCCAGATCATCTTTCGAGGACAGCAGAAAACTAAGATCGATGATCGGAACCGAGACTGGCGATGAAAGATGGGATGAATCCGTGCCTCCTAAACTGCTATCTTTGACATGAAATTCTGGGGGTGGCTCATCACCATTCACGGACATCTCTTGAACACTCTTAGACAATGGAACCCATCAAAGAAAAGCGACTGGCCTGCCATGTTTGCTCTCAAAGCAATGAGAATCCGTGGGACTGCAGCTTGATAACTGGCGTGGTATTCTATGACATGCTGTGGTTATGTCGTATTGTAGTCTGTACTGTTATCCTTAGATTTATTACAAGATATCGAGGGATTTCATAGATTTAGGTGGATTCCTTTCCGTTGAAGAAAAGCCAATTCATGGAATTGCTCAAATGAGGAACAAACTTAGAAAGATTTTTTTGCACCGTTATCTATCGAACCAATTCATGGAACGAAACAGAATGAATTTGTCAATACGATTTCCTTGTTTCCATTTTAAACCATCAATAATTAACGTCTTTTAGTATAAATCAAGTAACTTGAAGTTTGAAGAAAACCTGGAAATGGCAGTATGGGCCTCAAGTAAAAAAAATCATTAGTTTTGAGCTTTAGACAATAAGATCTTGATGTAAAGTTAACCAGCGTCCGGCCATGGATGGAATCAACCGTAGCTTATTCCTGCTTCTCCTAGCCTTCCGTTTTTTTAATCAAAAAATTCTTTCATTCATGAATACAACAAATTGGTACGTAAGTTTATAAAATTCCGAATTGGTTGGCAATGTAAGTACACATTTTCTATAAAAACTGGGACGGAGAAGCATGTTAAGCTGTTTTCTTCACTATGGATAAAAATGATACATTTGCAATGTGTTATATTCTTATTTGATTGACCATAAAGGAACCGGTTTCGGTTCTCTTTAGAGTTATACCTTGCAAGCAGGGAGAATAACATCCGGCAGGTGGATGAACACAAGGGACAAAGGAGAAACCATTATCGGCTTCGTTGAATTTACGTATAAAGGCTCCAGAGGAGGTATGATCCCTGATGAATCCACACTTAAAACGTTTCCATTCAGTAGTATGGTTTGGCTTTGTAAGTTTCCATCTTTTGGTGTTAGACGGTATTCCTCTCTTCTGATTTCAGCATCATCGTTTTGAGGCAGCTGGACGATCATCTTTTCATACGACATGTGCTGATTGTGCAAAGTCCGAGACCTGTGTTTGTGTCGCAAGGCGTTTGTATTGTTAAATGCGAGTTTAACCTGGACAGTTGTGCTCTTGTCAAGGTTGATCAATAGTAGCATGATGCCTTCCTGCAAGATGGGAAGCATTGGTCATATATCAAGAAAGAGAAGATTACCTGCTGCATAATTGTGATATGAGACTTACTGATTGTTTTGCACAGTGGGTGTACGAGCGTATCTTTTTTGTCCCGTTGAAGCTTGTGTACAGAACATTTCTTCCCATCAATCGGTGCCAAAGAAGAGCGCTGCAATGGAGAAAGCACATGATCATGCATACGGGGCTTGGATAACATGAGGTCGATTATCTACTTAAGACAAAATCATGAATATCTCTTGCTGAACCTCAGATTTCGATGTGAAATGGAGATATTGATAGGTTGATCTAGTTCTTAAGGGCATAAATGAAGTCTAAACAGGGTATCTATCTGTTTTAGGGAAATAACCTGTAGTAGTCTGGATTCGGTACAAAGGTCTTGGTGTCTAGTAAACCATAATTTCCGCCAATCAATGATTGTCTACAGTATGTTTTTGTATCATACTTCGCTGCCAGGCCGAGCTGATCTAAATACCTGCATTTCATGTCCGGGATAATATCACTTACAAATCAATCACAACAAAACGGCTAAGTTTCTTGATAGCAAGTTATTGTCACATTACCAGAAACTGAACACAAATGCATTTGTAACAAGATTATGGCCGCTATTGTAAGCTCCTCCTGCCTCGCCCACCCAGGCAGTTGCTGAAGTTGGAGAACTCTTGATAATGTCTTGGAGGCCACTGAATGCTCCAACGATATTATCAAGAACGGAAGGATTAAGTATCTTTTCAACCAGGTGGGTATCAACTCCTATGACAGAAGAATATGATTGTGAGAATTAGAGCCTTGTATCGACTCCTATGTACAAGATGAAGTACATTATACCTGGTCCGAGATTGTATATGTGGTGAGTGACCACATCTAAGGATGTGGTGGTTTTATCAATAAATTCTTTGAACCAGTTTGTGTCAAAGAACCCACCAGGTGCTATGACTAAAGGCTTGAAATCAATGTCCTTGTATATCTTTTGCACTATACTTTTTAGAGCTGCTGCATCAGCCGCATACTGATTCGCCGTGATCTTAGTTCCGACCCCATTCCCAGACAATTCATTTCCTGACAAGCAGAAGATAACAAACACATGTAGCTACCAACTATCGCAAACCATCTTCCATCTAATCTATCAATGAAATTTCAGAAACATGTTTATCATTCTGAATAGTTAACAAGAAAGAGAGGCCATCATTTACCTAACTCCCAACCATAGATGTTATAGTTCTTTTCAACGGTGTAACGAATAAAAGATTCGGCATTGGTGTAGTTCCAAGGTCCTATAGCTGGACCACCGGGCTTTATAGATCGTCCGGAAAGAGCATTTAATCCAAAAATAATCTTAGCCCTGAATTGTGAAACGTTAGCTCAAGAAAGTACAAGTGCAGAAGAAAAAAAGCTGTTATTTTTATTTACCCTGATTTTGCAAAGAAGTCATTAAGCTCATCCCATCTTTTCAAGGGTAAACATCCTTCAGTAAAACCAAACATTTCAGAAGGTTTCCTAATAAATGGAGTACACGGTTTCCGATTGTCATCTGTACCATATGTGAGCTTGTCTTGCAATGATCCCCCTAATCTAATCTTCAATGGTGAAAAAGCTGAACCATAAAGGGACTAATAAATAATTAAAATCAATATTTGTCATTAAAATTATCCATCCAAAAGGAAATGAATGACTTACCTTTCACGGCATTCAATAATATCTTATTGCTAAGGTCCTGCAATAGGAAAAGGCATATCAGAAACCACTTTTGAGCTGGGAAATAAGCTTTCCAGATTGAACAGATTTGGTTAAAGTATCAAAATGCATCATTGAACTTCCTATGTAACTAAAGTAGAAAATTATGCAAGTTCTTGTTTAGCAAAAGGAATGCCTGATTTCC